TGGAATTACAACCCTAAAAGTCAAAACCCATTTTAAGACTTTTGTTTGGACTTATCTCCTTGGGCAGGTTATTCTCAAAGCTTTGGGGACAAAATGGCCCGAAGGTCACTCAAGTGTGTTCAGGCATAAGGAGATAAAGATCCTGGATGAGGCAGGGTGCCAGTCATTGTCAGCTGAAGCACAATCGGGTAGCTGTGGCAGAGATCCAAAAAAGGGAGAATAATTCATCCAGTGGTGCAGCATGGGGAGTTGAGAGAGTTTATTTGTCTTCTTGCAAATGTGTTCTGACAGGTAGAAGCTGCAGTATACAACATAACATATTGAATGCAGTTGCACCTGTATGCAACATATATTCAACTAAGGCTCTCACATACATGATAGGCAACATCATCTCTGTGTGTGTGATCCTTTCTGTCCTATAGAGATCTCAAACCTAGAGGGAAAGCATTGTAGATTGTTTCCAAAGTTCAGACAATTTCAACTCTGACCTTGTTTGCTAGTGACCTTTCAATGCACACTAGCGTGACTGCTGTGTATGGCATAACCTTAGTGTATCCAGATTCCACCATACCACCCATATGGACTGCTGTGCTCCATCTTGCAGTTCGGATTAGGGTTAGGGTTAGGGTTGGTCAGTGTTATTTCCCCCATTGTTTCTTATTTTTATTTATGTCTAGAAGCCTCAGACTGGTATTTATGCCTCAACCATGTTGTTTTTTTCAAACCATACCAACCTTTGGGGCTGTACTGTGCTCCAGCTTGCAGTTAGGGTTAGGGTAAGTCACCTTGACTTCAACCATTCCACCATTTGTTTTAAGACTACTATCTGGAAACCTTCAATAAGTACTGCACAATGAGAATGTATCTGGCAGAAAGAAGATGTTATGGGTGGTAAAAAGGTCAAACAAGTCTAGATAAGTATTTAAGTGAATAGTAATAGACAGATCACATACTGAAAGAGCAATTGGCCCCATGCTGTTTTCACTTTCCGAAAAACAGCAGGAACTTCTTCAACAGTGATTGGCCCATTAGAAAGCCCCGGTATCATTCATTTCAGCCCAGATCACATACTTTAAGAACATTTGGAAGATATATTTAAATGTGTCTATGTTGTATTTGCATCTGACCAGATGTTACCAGTTTTCATATTTGGCTGGCTCCAGAGTCAACAGACTATTCAGTGTGAGGAATTAATAATTTCCTAATGCTAGGAGGCACAAAGAGAGGCTGATTGCATTCCTAATGAGCTTTCTGTACCTTGCAACTATACACGGCGGGCAGATGAATATCAATAGCACTTTATTTCTTTTGTTTCACGGTAACGGACAAAACGAGTGTTTCGCATCAACGATTTTGCTCAATGAGCCACGTTGGATTGTCTTATATATATATGCATCTTTCAAAATTGCATGTTGTCTGATAAATATTCATATTTCAACGTTGCATGCAGCACTGTATGTTAAAAGGTAGAGACACAATGTCAAACTGGTATAAAACTCTTGTAAAATGTTCTCTCTTTTACTATTTCATTCTGTCCCTTCTCTTCTTCAGGCTTCTATGGACATCACACATTCAAACACACTCTCCACGAGGCCAGATTTATGCCATGACAATTTCATGGAATGCATTGAAACGGTTCAGACTTAATATCGGTTAATTAATTTGGTGTACCTCGGCAGGGAGGTATGAGCAGAGCTGATGTGGACTGGAGATGAGGTGGTGGTGGTGGTGGTGGTGGTGTTGGCTTCAGGGTTGGTGAAGGGTTTAAACCGAAAGGGGAATGGGGTGAGTAATCCACAGAGTGCCTATAATGTAATGAGTCAGCCGCGCTTAATGGATTTGAGAAGGAGGGAGGTATGCAAAGAAAAAAGGTGGTGGCTTCAGAGGTATGTGTTGTAGCTGAAAGAAAGGCTAGGTTGGAGGACTGAAAGATGAAAAATGGAACTCCTACGACCTACATTTTTCCAAACTAGACAAAGATGACCTCAGTATTGTTTTATATGAAAACCACCTTAATGTTGGCTGAATTGTAATGCTGCACTGCACCATGGTAGCATTTTACAATAAAGCCCAAGGCTACAAATACCACTAGTTTTTAGAAGCCTGAAACAGAAATGTATATAGTGCATTCAGAATGGCTTTAGCTTAGCCTGGTGGTGTGGGATAATTCCTGAACTGCCAAACTGAGTTAGCCCAGAATGTTTCCATTTGACTTTGAAATCTCTGCTTGCTCACACACACAAACACACACTATTCCCCCCTTCCAGCCAGCATATATCTCCATATCATTGACACAGTCTGCCCTCTTGTAAAAAACCCTGGCATAAATTCTCTTCAATTTCCCTAAAACAGGATTTATCACAGAATGCTGTTGTTTGATAAGTTCTTTACATGTACAAGCATACTGGTGATGTTGTTTTTCGGGGGTTACTTTGACCAATGTTTAACTTATGTTGTGTTATGTTTAAATCCACTTGCTTGCACATGCTTTTTTTCTCTCAGACATAATTTAAAGCTTACATTGAATCACAATTAGAATTTAATTTGTTCCCTGATTGCATTTGTTTGCCTTCCCTACAACTACTTTGTTCACCAAATTAAACTAAATGTATCCTTACCAATGGAAGCTACACTGCACCCAGTTGTGCTTTATTTCAAGATTCTGCATGTATAATTTCTGCTGTCAAACTGTTTTTTAGGGATTATTTATTCAAGGCAAATTAATATAAACCATTATATGTATGCTAAGCTTGTCACGATACCAGAATGTTAAACTACAAAACATCTGGCACTCTTTCAAAACCATGGCAGCAAAAACAATTATAGGCACATCAATTAGGTTTACCTATTATATGTATTTAATTAACAACCTATTTAATTACACCATGGTTTCTTACTTTTAAGCTTTTTCCAATATCATTTTTTAAAGGCTTTGTGGAAACACAAATACAATCCAGTTCACCTTTTATTGGAGTGCCAGAAAAAGGAATCTTGGCCCTCAAAACCCTCTTCATGTAAAGATACCATCAGGGAAAAGTAGAAAAAACATGTATTTTGGCCAATAGGGCGCAGTGATTTTACTTTTCAGGAAATTAAGTTCTCTTGTGAATAACCTGTTTACCTCAAAATGTGAAAAACATCGCAGGTTAAAAGGAAATGTCAGGGATGTTCATGAACGATGTCAGAGTTTTGACACTTGCTCAGCTTCCAACACCTCCTCAAGAGTCAGGGGTTGTATTATTCATGCCTTCCGTGTTGTCATATCTGCAGCTCCTGCTGTTGCTGTGTGTTTCTTGTTGCCTGTGTGTACAGACCTGATGATCTGTCGCTCTTCCAGGCTGCGTTGTTTAATCCAGGTCAGCTGCCATCTTACCCTGCTGTTTTCACAGCCTGTTAGAAATCTTGTTATTGGCCTCATTTTTAAGGCGTATAAGCGTGTGATTTAAAGTCGGGGAGACGGAGTGTCACGAGAGTCTTATCTGTTTGTTTGGCTCTGTGCTAAGGTTGGTGGAGGGAATGCAAGACCAGACGCATAGCCAGATGTGATGAGTGCCTCTGGCTGTGACACAAGTGACATGCCACTGGAGAGGGAGAACGGGTTTATTTGCTTAAGCTCTCATAGCAACAGTCAAACACACCCACATGGTGGTCATATATGCAGGGAGGTCTGTGTGTCATTCATACATGAATATCTAAACGTGCAAATGCATATCTTTGTATTTTTCTGACAGTCACAGTGAGCTTTACAGTACAAGTCGTAAGTAGGAAGAGAAGAGTAAAATGGGGCCCACGTCTGTAAAAATCGGTTGTCGCAGATGCATCGCAGAACACATTTTGGAATGTTACAGGCTCAGGTGGTCACCATGTGAAGATGATTATTACAGAGGGCCAGCGGTTTAGTGGCAAACAAACAGTGCTGTAGGCTTTGAGTCACACAGGCCCGTTGAAATGTTGTATGACAAATTAACTGCTTTGGAAAAGGGGAACATCGTTTGAAAGTATGGACTATTTATTTGAAAGGGAAAACAGCTGTGACTGTTGTAGCTGCCAGGGCTAGTTATGGTAGTTGTTATTTTCTTTTTGAAGAAATCCACAATATAATCGTTGCTTGTTTGAAATAAGTTGGAGATTCTTGCCCCCCGGGAAAAGAAGAAACTAGACCTATAGTTACATTTGTCAGTATAGAAACTGAACATTTTTATTTGGTCTAATTTGTATGTATTTCTGGATTAATGTAGGAAATTGTTTCTTGTAAAACATGTTGCAATTCAGCCCAACACCTTTTTAAGTGGTGTGAACGCATCTATTAAATGTTAAAAAAAAACATGTTAAGTGTCTGGTAAAAAATAAGGAGAAAATTGTTAACTAGTTGGATTGTGGTTGGGGCTTTTTTGCCTTTCAACTGTCCTTTACTGCTAACTGGCGCAGAGTGATGATCATATACCACTATACCATCCATATGGACTGCTGTGCTCCACCTTGTGGTTCAGGTTAGGGTTAGGGTTAGGGTTAGTCACTGTACATTAACTTCACCCATTGTTGAGAATTTTTCGACCAAAATGTTTAGTCTTGGAACACATTTTGCAGAACCCCAACCAGTACACAATCCATTATTAGAGGCAGTAGAACATGAACATAATCTAGTCTGGTGATAGCAGTAAACTTCCTATAGTCATTATGAAAACAGTGAGTTTGATCTAATTTGGTGGCTCAGCCGGGATTTGAATTAAAAGTGAAGAGATGTCATCAATAGTTCTCAGCATATTGCATTATGTAGTTTAGCTATTGATTTTAAACTGACTCAGTCTGTGCACATTTCTTTCAGTCAATGTCTACACTTGATACTCTTGTTCTTTTGTGGGACAAAGTTGATTGAGATTTAGTTTGTCTAACGTTTTCTTCTCTGTCTCCTTTTGTTTCCCCTTCTATTTCTACATTTCCTTCACTCTCCCTTCACTCCATCATATTCTCCTTCTCCTCTATGCTCTCCGTCTAAACAGGTCCCCCACCAGTTGGGCGCGCTGACCTTCTACCGCTATGAACAGCCTATCGTTGACTACTGCCAGGCCCATCAACCCCTGCGGCTCAACATGGGCTATGAGGGACCCCCACAGGGCCTGGAGGGCCTGGATGACCTGGGGCCGTGTGATAGGGGCACCATTCAGACAGTGGCGCTGCCTGCCGTGCCCACTGCCGCCAGCATAGGTGCCTCCGTGCCAGGGCCTCGTTCTCCTCCGCCAATCCTCAGACCTCCGACTGAAGGTCCAAGTGGCGTGTCTTATCCTACCATCGAACGCACCGGCACACTCAAATTCGGACGTTAGCGAGCCGGATCTGGTGGTTAGAAAGTGGGGCAAGGGCCTCTGACTCACCGTGACTTTGTAATGAAGGGGCAGGTGAGCTGGTTATTCAGTGGGGCCTTGTCCTCAGAACATGAGTATGTGAACTAGAGGACAACACTTTTCTAATTCCGCCTGAAGGGACTTGGAATCTGAAACACACAGTCTCACTAATATACAGCAGAGCGTGGAACATCCTTGCAGATCATTTTGTTTTCTTTTTTCCAAAGCACTCCATATAAAACACGTCTGAATCATGGGAGGTAATCCAGCGTATGTCAAAAAGTATTACCTTGTTTCCAAATCTGGGTCTTGGCCATATCCCATCATGGGGCCCCTGTTCACAGCAGTCCACGTGTACTAAGTCTGGAATAAAAGGGAAAGTGCAATAAACATGAGTTCTCCATCCCAGAAAGTGGGAGCAGTAACATAAAACATAAACGAGATGGGAGCTGGACATCATGTGAAGAGGATGGGGCTTCTTACTGTGATTAGTTTTAAAATATTAAGTCTGTATAGTTGTTAAAAAAAGGCAAATACATTAATCATTTATTTCACAAAGATGAGTCATTCTCTCAAGACAATGTTATAGAATTTGTATTTCCTTAAACTTGTTTTCTTATGTTTCTGTTGACGTAGGATTTCACGTTGATTTCTATTATGTGCATGTCAAACCAAAGAGTTTACTTACATTTATTGTTAAATATATCAGAGCATTCTTAAAATGGTCTTCTAAACCAGCCCCTGCCAACTTACATTCACAATTTCAACCACATCCGTGCTGCGTTCCAATGAAATGGGCTTTGCTTTACAGCTTAGCAAAGTACCAACGCAAGTGAGATAGTGAAGCTTACATTTTAGAGATATTTATCATAATAATGACCTGGTCCTCCCAACATTAATTTGACTGTAATTCATGATCTTGGAGACACAATGAACAGCAACAACCACACAAACACTTCTGGAGAGACATAATGGTATGTTCCATAAGATTCAATGAACATCCATGGGATCTTTTCACAGCAGGTCTTTGTATATGATTATATCCCAGCTGAACGATTCACTATTTGCTTTAAAGAGGTAACCATTGGGATTTCATGTGGTTAAACATTGGAATGCAAAGTATTGTACATATTCTTACAAAAGGTCCACTTTACTGACGGTCAAACCACTCTCACTGCCCCAAACAGACAACTAAAACAAAGTCAATGTGCGACTGGACAATTTGGAGTGCACCATCTTGCAGGGTTCCGAAAAAAGCTAAGGCCTTGTGCTCCCATCAACCCTCCACTACAGAGAGCAGCAGTGTCTAGTGGGGGCATGTTGAACCAGCACGTTGACTTCTCTTTATCCTGCGTGTGAACCCATGGACTGTACGCGTGTGGGGGTATTGCCTGACAGTTCCCTTTTTTTTCCAGAAGGCTTGCCTGCAGTGTTGGACTTTATTGCACTTGTAGGCCTTTGGTCACCGTGCCAATCACTGCTACTCACTGACTTGTGAAGCTAATGAGGACTTCACAAACGGCTGTGATGGCCTGTCAAATATCATCTGCAGATTAATCGGAGCAGATTCCTTCATGTCAGTGGTCGTTCCCAAGGGAGTTGTGGAAACTGTGCTTGGTCCTCCCATGGCGTGACTGATTGATCTACATGAAATTGCAAGGGGCCAAATGTACCCACAGATAGTGGATGTATCCTCAAGATAATAGAGGTGTTTTTTTTCATTGTTTTGTTATTTGATCTTTTTGGCTTGGAACATAAAAGACTCGTGTTCAAAGATGATGTCAAGAAATTCTATAAGACTAATCAAAGGACACAATCGAATAGAACTTATTTATCGTGTAAATAGTGAATCTTTAAAGATGTTGAAAAAAAAAGTATGAACTTCACTTCTTCTGAAACACATACTGCTTGTGAACAGAAGAGGAGCCTTATTCACTTTCCGGCGGGAACCAAGATGACTCGGAGAAGAGGTTCCTACTGTACCGCTCCTGTTGTTTCAATGATAACTATTTTTATATCTGCTCCCGACACTATTGTACCATTAAACACTAATTATGTTACAGAGGTTATTTCTCAAATCCAATCATTTTACTGAATCACAGGAAGAAGGGAATTTCGGGAGCCCTGTTATTATGACATACCGCAAGCGTCAAACCTCACAGAGATCCACATTTTCTGTTCTGACTTCAGACATGTTTCCTCTTGCAGGAGGTGTCCTCACAATGTGTTGTTAGGTACATCCCAATCCAACCCTCTTGTTTTAGAATTACAATGGTATCTGCCATTTCACGGCAAGTGTGCTTTTCTTTACACCAAGAGTTTAACTTGGGAAGGATGTTTCTTTTCGATGTGCCATAATTTTGTTAAATGTTTTACCAAAAACCAGCCCCAAAACAAGAAGTGACCGAAAACTTTTCGCGTCTGAGAAGGGTTCAGTCCCCTTTGTGTACAGGACATAGCATAAAAAAAGCAGTTGATTCGCTCAGTACGGTTGCTTAATAGTGCTGGTGGAGTTTACTTTGTAATAGCAGCTGTGCCAATGTCTTTATAATGGGAGCTCTCTCGATTCTATCCATGTATTGTCTTGCCTTGCTCTATATCGCCCCTGCTAACTCCTTGGCCTGAATTTCATGTCTGCCTCCGGGTGACTCGGGTGAACCTGTTTAATGATGTTCTATTTCTGTCCGCATGCTGATATTTTGGGAAACTATGCCCGGTTAGGGAAGAGCGCTGAACCAGAGACAAACAGTATGGGAGATATTTCCTGTCTGGAATGCCCTAGAACCAGCAGCACGTGTCACGGAGGACTTCACTGTTTTTAAAGCAACTTGTTTGCTGACCCATTCCTGCCCCTGTCTCGCCTAAAGTAGAATTCCCTGGTACAATAAAAGCCGGAAAAAGAGGCCTGAGTCGGTCCTTCACTTCTGGGACAGCCTTCCCTTCTTTCTTTTTTTATTGGTCTCCTGCTAAAGCCCAGTGCAACAATATGTAGTAGTTACTTCCGCAGTGATAATGGTTCAATTCAGTCTAAACACTATGATCAAAGCTACCTTCATGTGTAATTAGGAAATGCTATTAAAACCTTTGTCTATTCACAATTAAATCAACTACTAATAAGCAATTGATTAATCATGACTTCCGCCCAGATAAAATCGTATATGTTCAGCGGAATGTTCCAATCCGGCTGCCAGTAATTATTTCGTCTTTTGTCCATTTTCTTTTTCGCCATCAGAGAGCTGGAAGCACAGGCGCTGCATGCTAATGATGCATGTTTGAGCTGAACCCCAGGACTGTCTGCGCTAGCCCCACCAACAGGCTTTATTTTCTCTTCTGCCTTGTTTGTTTATGGTTTGGTACACCCCGAGATCCACCCCCCCTCCTCCCCCCCCCCCATCCTCCAGTCTTTGACTTTGGTCCCCATTGGGAGCATTTGTCTTTTTTACCCATCTCTTTTCTTTTTGCTTCTGGGGAGTTGAATAAAGTTCTAAAGGAATTGCAGAGAAAAGTTCCATATTTCACAGTTAATACGCAGTGGAAAAGCTAAATGCAAATCTCCAAGGGAAAAAGAGGGGAGGGAGCAAGAGATGTTGTACAATTTAGAGTACTAGAGGGACACATGCAAAGTGCAAGGACATATTCAATTAGAATGAAGGCCCTGTGACGTTTCTGAATGTCCCAGTCAGCATTATTTCCAACATGAGACGTGACACAAACTGCTTTAGCCAATCTTGGATACCAGTGTCACACACATAAGTATCCATATGGCACACAGACAGAATAAGAACACACAATTAAATCAACTCTAATTTTCTAAGCTGTACGCAGATTATTTGCTTTGATACACGCAAATCCAATAGGTAAATCCCATTGCTTTTTGTCAAGGGACCTCTTGCGATGCTAGGGTATGGCCTACAAAAAAACGTCATCACTGCACCTCTCTATTTTGTTTTAAACTGCAGAAAAAAACTAACATTTATACACATACACGAACACAATAACCATGAAAAAGGGCAACAAACGCCTTGATAGATGATAATAAAGTACTGCAGCTCTTGACGCTCCCATCCATTTCAGAACACCCAAGGCCATCTGCAACGCTTCAGTAGGTTCTAATCCATTACCTCATAAATAGATTTGAAAAATTAATTCCAAGCCAGACGTGGAGTTGCAGCTTTTCTTCCTTTTAACATACATCTGTGTCTTACCCACAGTACCCATACAACTCACAGGCATGACTCCACACAGTCAGTACGTAAACACACAGATAGGGGGGCTAAGCAGGGAAAAATGAAAAAAAGTAAGCTTATTCTCCCATCTGCCACTTCTAGAGTCCTAATTTAAGTTTCTGTGTGCCGTTGGTGTGTGCAGACTGCAAAGTGGTAAGAATTAATAACTTTCTCATGCTGAAAGGTAGAAAACAGAGACTCCATGCATTGCTAGTTAGTTAGCTACCCCGCATGTACCCAAATGGCCTGCGAGTGTGTGTGTGTGTGTGTATCTAAAGCAGCACCTTGTCCTCTACCTCCTCTGAACCAACGCCACCATTACTGATGTTCAGGCCAACACAATCCCCATTGATTGTTAGTGTTCCACGCTGTTTCACATTAGCAGGAAGTCTTTAACCTGTGACCCACATTGTCCTGACTCTGTTTTTCTGCAATTGCTCATGTCAGAGGGAACACAGAAAGTGAAGGCATGATCATTAACCTCTGTCGGGGATACACACTTTTCCGTTTGTCTGACAAAGCCCCCTTTACGCCCCTAATTGGATTTAATGTGAGCACCGTAGAAAAGGAAGCTTTTTATTTAAATGGCCTGCATTCTAGTCTTGCTGTTGGATTGAGAGTGCAGTGAGAGAGAAAAGCAGAGGGAAACTGATTGAAGCAATATCAGAGTTATTCTTTGTTGGCTTGCAGGCTAAAAGCACTTTCCAAATTTCTTTTTTTTAAGCTGCCAAGCTTCCCATACGAACCAGGGGATCCCCGCTCCTTCTCATTCATTTCATTTCCTGCAGAGAGCATTGGTTTCTGCAGGGTGTAAATATGCGCTGCATTGTTTTTCTTTTTGGGTTTTCTTTTTTGGTAGTTGGTTTGTTGTTGAGTTTTTTTATTATTATTGTTCTTTTTACTGTATTCAGACTTAACGCATTTTTGTGGAGACCTGGTCCAAGCGCAAAAATATGGCTCCTCTTTGAGTATATTATTGTCAGAAAATGTTTTGTAAAAATTTTGATGATGATATCAGAAATAAACATCTAAAGATGAGAGTTGTGATGTCTTGTTTTTTGAGAATATATTGCATCGTAGGCTACTGTACTAAAAGGAAACATTACAAAAACCTAGTTATGGGCACTTCTGTGACAAGTCTCATTAGCCGCGTTCACACCGGAGTACTTTTCACCGTACTTTTCGCGTTTAGTTCCGTTAGTACCCCTTATGTCGCGTTCACACCAAAAAGAGCACTTAATCCCGGGAACTTTTACCCCCATTTTTAGTGCCTGCTGAGAGATGGTACTATCCTGGGGGAAAAAAGTGCCCCAGTTCTGATTGGCTGGGCGAATTGCAAACCACGCCCCGTAAAACTATGAAATGTTTTGTAAAGCCGCCATTTTATTATCCTCGCATTAGCATTATTAGCATTAGCATTCGCCCAGCGCACAAACGCAGAGAGACTAACTTATGGCAACACAAAATAAAACATGGGAGCGGTGGAGATGAGGAGGTGTCGGCGTTCTGGCGATTTACTCGGAAGGCTTCAGTAGAAGCTGCTGGGAGTCCCAGCAGCTTCTACTGAAGCCAGTCCCCAACTCCGGGGACTTCCGGCCGGGAACTCCGGGTGGCAGTATACGCCGTGAAGTTGTTTGCGGCCTGCCAGTAAACCTAAAGCAGAAGAAGACGAAGTGACGTCAGCGGCTCATTTGCGTAATCTTCCCTCAGGGAATTTATTCCGGTGTGAACGCGATCTGTACTAATTGCCCTGGGGTAATAAGTGCCGGGGCACTGAGTGCCGGCACTCAGTACGGCAAAGTACTTGGTGTGAACGCGGCTAATGTAACCTGTAGATGGTTCCTGTGCCCTGGAAGGAGTGTAAGAAAATAAGAGAAATCCTTCACTATACAACCATTTTATCAAGTAGCATTAGGGTTATGAGGCACTGTTTTTAAAGCTCCTCTTGATTTAAAGTTGTATTATATTAAAGTGCATTACTTAATCCCTTAGTGCTACTTCAAGCCATTTCTATCATATTTTTGCACCTTGTCCTTATTTGTTTTTGTTCGCATTATTTTGCGTGGCTGATTTAATCTGGTTTGCTACAGAGGTATGAAGCCAACATTTTGCAGTGTGATTTTATTGCAATAAACAGGTGGCAAAATAATTACATTATGATGCCAATGTATGATAATGAATGCTTTGTCAGGTTTGTCCACACGTCTTTTGATGCTTTTAAAAGGCTTGTTTTCTGAATGGAGTTCATCCGACTTCCCTTAGACATGCTGCTTTTAGGTCAGACCCACTTTCTTTAAGCTTGGCAACCTATCAGAAATGACTGTACCAGTACCAACATCCAGTAAGGGCATGGGAACACGATTTTCATGTCTCAAACTCAAGAAGAGTCCAGCAGTCTGGGGTTTCAAGTGGATCAATTATGTAGGCTTGCAGAAAGTAACCGTTCATAACTCTGTGTGGACCTCTGTGTGTTTGAAAATAATTTGACCCTCCACAATTCATGGTATCATGCTTGAAATGTTACACATTCTTCCTCACCACATGGATTATACTGAAAAAACAACCAGATACAAGCGGCTGAGAAAGAAATGATTCAATAGCATTAGATATTTAATGAAGACGACATTTAATAATAAATGTTGAGCTTGTATCATGAGGTAATTCCAGAAGAAAGACTAGTTGTTTTCCAGTGAGGATTCCGGCATTGTTTGTATGTCTCGAAAAAAAAAGTCCAAAGAAATTAAACAAAATAAACGTTGGTATGCTTATTTGCATTTTTCTACATTGGAACATCGAAGGTTACTTTACAAGGTTAGCTGTTGGTGCTAAAGTAGCTGCTGATTTACCCTTAAAACAATTATGGTAAAATTAACTTCCATTTAAAGGTTCATTCTGTAGTTGTTTCTGCACCCTTTGCAAGATTTAACAACTTTTTTTACAGAGAATCAGGCTCTGGCAGATTGAGATACAGCTTAGTTTTAAATGTCTAATGGCACAGACAGATCTTATTTCGGGTCATCTTCGCTGTCTTCTCAATTACTTACTATACTTTAAGGTTTCCTCTGCCACAATGGTACCTGGGAAAATTGCTTTCAGTCACAGTAAGATGGCCAAAAATAAATAAACCCCATTCAGCTGGACTGTAACTGACAAGTTAAAGACATTTAGACACTCATCCAAACATCCAAACACATTCAAAGTAATGATTGTAATCTGGACCTTTCACCGACCAAAGGACTGCAATCACAGTGCCCAAAGTAAGAAAGAACAAAATCACACTCAGCGGGCTCTGACAGCCTGTGGTTAGCCTCTCTGGGGTTTCCTCAAAATAGCAACACGGTCCACAGAGAGCATCATAAGAAACAACAAACACACACCGCAATATGAGACACTTGGGATATGTGATCACACTGTCACAATCATAAGGTGTGAGGACATTGTCAAAACCTGTAAAAAAAAATGATCAAAGCAACGTCAGTTTACCAAATTTATCCAAATTCACCCCAGAAATAAAACATGAAACATAAACAGAAATTTGATTATAATCTTGACATCACTGCCGGGTGTTGTAACACACTTATTTTTAGTAAAAGTAGAGATACCACAGTGTAGAAATATTAAAAGTCCTGCATTCAGCATTTGTGCACCAAAGAACAATTAGTAAGGGTACCAGAAGTAAATGTACTTATTCTGCACATTGGCCCATTTCAGAGTAATATATTTTTCATTATTATTCATTATAATTATAATTATTAATGAAATCGAGTGTAATTCTACTTAATGCTGTATTACGCCGATTAATGCCAAATATTGTCTCTAAGTAGGAATAACAAATGGAGCCAAATCGAGTCAGTTACAGCCATTCCGTCGAGTCAAAGTGGTCAATTGGCTTAACATTTTATAACAACATCAATAAAGTTCCTTTGGCCTCTCGTCAAAATGTAGGACATAGTTCTTCCCAATAAACAAGAAAGGCACAGGCGAATGCGGAAACCTTAAAAAACAGTGGCCACACAACCTACATCTCAATGTAAGTGTTTATTTTTTAAACTTTAGGAAGAAAGCCCCTCACAGAAACACTCAAGAAGTATACTTGACGAATGCAGCCCACTTGTTCCTAGTAAACCACTTGGTGTTCATTTGATAAACTTTCGGGAGACAGTGCTGTCACCCACGCACTCTGGAAGTAAACTTGATGAATGCAGTCGACTGGTTCTGAGTGAAC